TTTAGTTATTTTCAGTTGAATGTACCTGTTCATAATGTGTGTTTTGCAGTTCTTCATCTTCATCAAATAATCTTTTCAGTAAATCTGTTGTAAATATTTATATTTTTTATTAAGGCATAGTACCAATTATAAGAGAATTTAATAGCTGATTTAATAGCTAATTCTTGGTTTTTACGGTTATTTATTCGAGTTTTCATCGTCATTAATAGCTCTCTACTTAAATTACCATTGGATTCTTTTAATTTTCTTATAACATAAAATCAATTGCTAATCGGGCTGTTGAAAGATTAGCATCGTCTCTGCTAAGAGCTTCAACAGTTAATTTAATAGGTTTTGGCGTATTTTCCAATTCATGTAATAATTCAATATTAATATTTTCTACTAAATGTGCACTTCCAATATCTTGAAGAGCATCTTTTATGATATAAAATAGTTTTAAAAATCTAGATACCATTTCGAGCAATGAGTTCCAACGAGTTCTTACGTCTACCTCTAGCTGAAGTTCATTTCCTAAAATATTTTGATCTTTTCTTGCAAAATATTATTTCGCACAGAAGAACTTTAAAAAAATTTAATTCATCAAGTGTAATCCTAAATCTTTAATATTTTCTTTGATTAGAAAATATTTAAGTTATGAAGTTAGTGTGTATTCGGACATACATGGAAACATACATAAACTTGAATGTTCTCAAAACATCTAAAGAGCCTTGCTTTTTGAAGTTCAAGTTTAAGTTTTAAGCTAGATCGGGAAATCACAAACCCTACTACTGGGTTTTCTAAAAAAGGAAGGGATACAGTGCAACAATGCGCCGCTGCGTACGAAATAAAGCTGAAAAGTTAAATCATGAGACTCACCGGGTCTTAAACTGGTTATTGAATCTGGGTATTTATCCATGGACTCGCCGAGTCCGAGTTCAGGTACCCGGAACCAAAAAACTCTACTTTTGATTTTTTCAAAAGTTAATTATTGCTTCACTTATTGCTTCACTTATTGCTTTACTTATTGCTTCATTTATTGCTTTACTTATTGCTTCACTTATTGCTTCACTGGAGGAGTAGAAGTGCTAAATAATCTTGAGATCATTGATTGATGATCTAAAGATTTTTATTTATAATGTCATCTTTTGAGTGATTTAATCTAAATTTATCTATTTAATTTTTATAATAGTAAAAAAAAAATTTCGTCTTTTTATTTTATACAGCTTATATTTGCAAACGAGTAAAAGACATAACAACATTAAATGTATTTACTCGGTTGCCCAACATAGACACGATGGGCAGCCGATCATTGGCCAACATGGTGTCAACCTACTGTCTGCAACTATAAACCAACGGTGCGCCGATGTAAGGTCAACCTGTTATAAAATGAATTATACCAACGCTTTGTCAACTGCAGCACTTGGTTCAGCCAACGTTGTACCTACAATTTAAAGCTTTGTGACAAGACCGTTAGGTCTTCTTGGGGCAGCTAAATAAGCGGGCCAAGGTATTGCCAACAACGATGAGTATATAGGCAATTCCACGGCGGAAAATTAAAAAAAAAATTAAATTTTATTACCTTTTTTGTCAAGTTTTAGAACATGAATATTGATGTAGGTAAGTTTAAATTTTTAGTATTAAATTAAAAGTACGTACGCTTTTTTTTCGCCAACTCCCCCCCCCCCCCCCCCGCAATTTCCCTAAGCTTTTTTGAGTACTGTCTACCTCCCTAAAAGTACCTACGCTTTTAACCTCTAACTCAACATTTAATGATATTTTATTTAAATTTAGTGTCACCATACTTTTATAATTGAACTACTGCCCCCTTATCTCAGAAACGCCATTTGCAGACCTCCTCTTCCTCTCCGAGCGTACGTACTTTATGGACGATCACGAGCGTACGTACTTTATGGACTTATCAAGCTGCTTATCGACAGCGTGATTCAGAACGGAAAAAAATTACAAATGCCGATCACCAAAAAGCTCATTATCAACAAATAAAACTAGATCCGGAAAAAAAATTAAAGAAATAGAAAAAGTAAAGAAAAGAGTTCAAAAGTATCGACTCAAAAAGAAATCTTCTACAAAAACTGATCCGATGGCGATCACAAATAATACCAAATATGTATTAAAACTTATATTTTTAAGATCTTAACTGTTTTTACATTAACTATATCACTTATATTCTTTATATTTTTGTATCTGAAAAACAACAACAACAAAACTCTATTTATACAAAAATTTCGTTCAATAACAAAAAAACTATTTTTTAAATAGTCGCCATACAACTGTTATTTAGTTCGTTATAGCCATGCTAATTCAATTTTCTTCCAACCATTCTCCCCCTCTTTGATAGACCCCAGTCTATCAAACATTTTTAATTATCAAACTCAAGAAAACTCGTAATTGGTCGTATAAATTTTTTTTCGCCAATTTTGACTTTCACAACTCTTACACGTCCATCTTTACCTTCAAAGACTTCCGTAATTCTACCAAGCGGCTAATGTCCTCCAGGTGTATGATTGGATGCTTAACATCGTAAGGTAAGTAATGGGCATTTCGCAATCAACTACAAGATCGCAATAATACGTCTTCGTCAATTTTACAAATAGCTGTGTGGATTTCGGTGAGGGTATAGTGCACAGCACACATTTTTTAATTTAGTTAATAAGTGGCAAGAATGCTTAGATAAAGGAGGTATAGTTGGCGCAATGCTTATGGGTTTATCAAAGGCATATGATTCAATTCCACATGATTTGCTTATAGCTAAGTTGGAAGGTTTGGGTTTTCTTACGATAGCCTCAAACTCTTATTATCTTACCTTTCTGCTCGCAAACAGAGGGTAAGACTAGGATTGTCTTTTTCTGAATATTTAGATATGGAATCTGGTGTACCTCAAAGCTCACTTTTGGGACCAATTTTCTTTAATATTGTTATAAACGATTTTTTCTTATTTATAAAAGACTCTGATGCTGATGAAACTATGCTGATGAAAACACTCTTTCTGTTTGTGACAACAACCTAGAGGGTGTTATTGCTCGTCTTCAAATAGAAACATCAAACGCGATTTCATGGTTTACTTTGAATAAAGTGGTTGCAAATCCGGACAAATTTCAATTTTTTTTAGCTGGCTTAAAAAATTGTAAAGGTCAATTTTTAATGGTTTTTAAATCATAGTTTCCTCTACCCAGTAAGCACAAGACGCATTTTAGACACTTATAGACGTCTAAAACTAGTCTAGGTAAAGACGCACTTTTATAGACGTTTTGAAGACATTTTCTAGACGTCTTTAATAAATGCGCTTTTAAAATGACGTTTAAAATGCGTCTTTTTAAAGTTTAAAAAGACGTTTAAAAGACGCATAATAAATAGTCTAAAAGACGCATTAAAAGACGTCTAGATCAAGGCTAAAAGACGTCTTTTCTGTGACCTGTTTATAAATATGTCATTATGACTTCTTTTTGACGGCTTTGTCATTACGCGTTAAGAAGATGTCGTATATTCAAAGTAAAAACATAGTTTTTATTATTTTTAATAATTTGTTCAAGTTTTAAGTGTAAATTACTTTAAATTAAATTACTTTTTTTCACAATTGCTAAAATTGTTGTCACAGGAATCACTAAAATAATTGCTATAATATTAATATTTTTTTTTTTTATTAATAATTATTTTGCTTTTTTAATAGATAGTTGACTGATCATGATAATAAGTGAAAATGGCAAGAATAATATATAAGTTAAATATCAGTATTTTTAGTTTTTATACACCCACAAGCCATATAATAAGTCAAGTATGCGGTCAAAAATTAGCTATCAATATTTATGTTAAATTTTATTAAAACTAAAAATATGTTATAATTGTTTTAAACACTGTTTTGATATATATACTTGTTATTGTTTTTTATTATTTTCATCTTTGATGCATCAACCGTTGGTGGTGATTACAGCAATATTATTTTGACTGCTGGTTCATATGTGTATTTGGTATAAACGAAATTAAAACAATTTATGATGTTATAAATACAATGAATATATACCACATACTACGCAAAAGTGTTACGTCATGTACTTAAATTTAACTTGAAAAAAACGTCTAAAATACGTCTAAAACGCGTTTTTATAAAGACGTCTTCATTTAGACGTCTTTTAGCCTTATGATCTAGACGTCTACAAGTGCGCCTTTTAGACCTCCTTAAAGACATCTTTAAAACGTCTTTTAAACGTCTTTGTGCTTACTGGGTAAGTTCATAAAAAGTAACTTATATAGAGCAACCTCGCTATGGAACTCCCTAGACGATGAAACTATGTCAATAAAGTGTCTAAAGATGTTCAAAAAAAGTATTTTAAAATGGCAAGGCATATCTTGTTTTTGTAAAATCTGTCAAAAATAACTTTTTTTATTTTTTATTTTTTATTTTTTACGTCGAAAATAACCAACTTGTTGTATTTATTAACATTTATATTATTTACTATGTAAGCTATTTTTATTTTATTTTATTTTATTTTTTATTCACGATATGTATGTTTGTTTCTATTGTCTTATACAGTTTAGTGTGTTGATTTTAATTAGTTTTTGTTGATTATAAAACTATTGTAAACAATCAACTGAAAATAAGGTTTTAAATAAATGAATAAATAGTTTGCAGATTTAAAGAAATGATTTTGCTTGATATCGATATCGGTTTTCCTTTTTCAGTGTTGCTATATTCTTTTTTAAAGCTTTCTTTTTGAGCTTTAGCTATGATTTCTTTTTCGCTTTATGATATTCATCAGCTGCTATATTAACCTTTTTAAAAAAATCCGTTTCAAATCGACGATTCCCTATAAACCGATGGATCCAGCCGTTTATCCTGACAAGTTTTTTCCAACATGAGAACTTGTTTATATCAAGCAATTGCTTTGTTACTTCAGTGGATAATGCAAAACTCATTAATACTGGATTTTTCTTTACGTCAGTTGAAGCCTCTTGTGTGACTTCAAGTGATTCTGTAGCCATTTTTTTTCTAAAGAATTAAGTAAACTTCAAGCATTATTACTTTCTAATTCTTTAACTGTTGTTCCTCTTGTTAGTAAATCAGCTACATTAGTTTTTGTTGTTATGTATCTCCATTGTTTTAGTTCAGTCTTTGATTGAATAAATCCAACGCATTTGGCAACAAATGGTTTCAACTTTCGACTTTGATTTTTTATCCACCATAAAACATTAAGACTATCACACCATATAGTTACGTCCTTAGTTTCAAGCTTCAATGCTTTGACAATTTTCTCTGCAAGTCGTAAACCGAGGATAGCTCCAAGTAACTCAAGTCTTGGTATACTAATAGATTGCAATGGGCTTACTCGGGCTTTTGACATTATGATCACAGGTCATTTCTTACAGCAACAGCACCGTAAGTTTTACAAGATGCATCTGTAAAAACGTGAATTGACTTATTTGTATTTGTTGAAGTTGTTTGTAAACATCTGGGAATATTTATTTTTGGGAGATCTTTTAGTTCTTAAAACCATTGATCAGATTTATTTACAATCCTATCCGGAATTACATCATCCCACTCAATTCCATCAATCCACAATTCTTGCATAATTATTTTGATTCAAATAATATATGGTGCTAAAAAAACTCAATGGGTCGAACAACGTTGCCATTTTTTTAAGCAAAATTCGTTTTGTATATACCATATTTTCTTCGGTTGCAACAGAATGAAAACTAAATAAATCAGGTTTTGCTTTCCAGACAACTCCAAGTGTTTTTATTGCAGACAATTCTCCAGAATCTAAATTTATATGTTCTGCACGATCATTTTCTGGTGTTATTTTAAGAACTTCGACCGAGTTTAAAAACCGCTTTCGTGCAAACATTCCTGCTGAACCGCATAGTAGCGTGAGTTCCTTGTATAATTGAGTTTCTACTTTTTCATCAACTACAGAAGTTATTGTGTCGTCCATGTAAGTTGCATCAAGAACAGCTTCAGAAGCCAAAGGATATTTTTGTGCATACTTTTTGCGTGTTCTTGCGTTACAAATTGAGCCATTAAAGGCGCTGAATTGATTCCAAATACCAGTCGAATAACTAAAACACCTCAGAATCGGCAGTTGGATTTAGATTTCTCCATAAAGTTCGTTGGTACCTTTGGTCATCTTCATGTATTCCAATTTTTAAATACATTTCTGCTATATCACAAGCTAAAGCCACTTCGTATTTTCGAAATCTCAGCAAAACAGTCACAAGGTCTTGTTGAAGTTTTGGACTTTGATAAGTAACATCATTAATTAATTTGCCATTGTATTTTGCAGTTCCATCAAACACAATTCTGACTTTTGTAGTTGATTTATCAGGACGAAGAATTGGAAAATGTGGTAAGTACCAACCATCTCCAAGATCCCTTTTATTGATTTTCGCCATTGTATAATTATTGTCCAAATGTCTACAACCTTTTCTATGGTAATTTTAGCTCATATCTTCCGTTCTCTGTTTTTAGCGAATTAGTTACTATATTAAGGGCGGTAGAGTCTTCTGGGCTTGTCATTTTTTTTCTGAATTGCATCTCTTCGTCGCCTTCAATTTCCCATAATTTTTTAATGGTGTTGTTTGCATTTTCTATTTCCTTTGTGCTAGATGTTATTTTCGTAAAATGGGTTTGAAGGGATCCACCAGTACCACCAACACGTGCCCATCTGAGCGGCGTGAGTCGAGCCACTGGTTAATTAAATCCTCCTTTTACTTCCTTAATTGCACAGTGCAGCTCAGCCTAATCCACACCGATTAGAATGTCAATTTTTGGTTTTGGTCCAATATTTGGGAATTCGATTTTTCTTAGATGTTTCCAACTTTTTGACAAATTTGCCCAATTAACTGCTTTTAAGTTTCCAGTTACATTATTAACTTGTAAAAGCTTCCACTGTAATTTTTGTTTCTCCATTCAACGATTCCAACTGAAATTCTACCGGCATCGTTTCCGAAAAGAATCAATTTTTCTATTTATCATGTTTACAGTTACCTTTTCGGTTTTACCTTGCAGTGACTACATCTGCCGCTACATCACAGTTTAAATATGTCTTGGTACTTCCATCGTCAAGCAATGCGTTTACCATAACTTTTTTATATCCACAACGAAGAATAACTGGCACCGTTCTAAAAGATATGTAGTTCATGACGTGATTTAAATGAAATTGGATGTTCAACGTGTGAGAATTTTCTAATATCATGTCTTTTTCTTTGAAGTCTTCAGAAATTGTTTTATTTTGATGTCTTTTTTTGTGAAGCAAACGATTATGAGTATCTGTACAGCCGTCAATCCCACAAATTCTTGTGTTCCTGCATTCTTTTGACAATTGGCTAGAATTCAAACATCTGAAGCAGAGTTTATTTTTCTTAGCTGTTTCCCATCTTTCTTTAATATTTTGATTTTGAAACGTTGGATGCTCCTATATTTTATGATCGTTTTTGCAAACAGAACATTTCTGTATCCAATTTATTTTCTTTTTTTGATCACTGTTACCAAAGTAAGAATTTCCTTCGTGTGCTTTGCTATCAATAGTTTTTTTTAAACCATGTAGAATTTCCGTTGCTGCAATTTGAAAATCTGCTTCTTCAACAATAAACTTTTTTAGAGTTTCAACATTTTCGTTTAATTTGTTTTCATACACCCATTGTTTGTATCTAATTAACATTATCTCAGGAACTTTTTTTTGCAGTTGATGGTACAATGTCCCATCGCCAAGTTCTTCTATTCGATTTGCTTCTTTCAAGTTTGTTACAGCCACATCTAACAAATCCGCAAACTTTTCAACGTCTTTTGGATTTTTTTCTCTCATAGGTTTAAAGTTGTTCAATTCATCCAAATACATAAGGATTTTTCTCCTTGCTCTGCAATATTTTCTTTTGCAGCTTCATAAGCGAATGACGAATGCTCAAGTCCTTCAATTGCTTTTAATGCGTCTCCACATAAATGTTGACGTAGCTGAAGTAATTTATACTCAGATGTCGCTGGGGCTTGATCAATACATGCGTAGAATGAAGCTTTCCAATTTTCATAGTGCCATTAAACATTGATATAGAAGCGCGTTTTAGTTGTTTCCATAAATCATATTCAATTTTTGCAGTCTTTTGATCCAAATCAATTATTTCATTTTCCGTTTTACGCATGATATGCGTTGATTTGATTGCCCGACGGGCATTTGTTTTTAAAAGTTACGTTCTAAATGTGTTTTAAATGTGTTTTAAACGTCTTTTAAACATTAATGTTTAAAAGACGTTTAAAAGACATTTAAAATACATTTAGATCGTAACTTTTAAAAACAAATGCCCGTCGGGTGGTTCAATTTCGCTACTGCCATTTTCTTCTTTATTATCTTCATACTGGTCATTACTTTTTGAGTACTTAACAATTGATAACATTGCTTTTTTGTTTCCATTTTAAGTTCTTTTTCCATCCTTTGATGTTTTAAACTTGCTTTTAAACTTCCATTGCGCAATATCCCTTTATTTATATGTTCCATAATTTCCGCAAATTTTTCAATTTCTTTATTGAGTTTTTCTACATTTTCTTTTGATTCCAGAAATTCGTATTTCTTTGATAATTCAACCATTATCTCGAGAGCTTCGTTTTGAGTCTTTTTTAATTGATTAGTCAATTTGCGTAACTCGTTTTTACAAGTAGGTTCATCGTCTCCAAGTTGCTGAATAATTTGATGTTTAGTTCGCGTAAACGAAGACTTCAGAATTATTTTCCAGCTTTTTAAACACGATAACTGGGATATAAAAATCGGATAAAGCAGGTTTTGTGAACTCCGACCAATAAACGTTCGATCATCGCAAAGTTGTCTCACAAGGTATACGTTTGTACTTACCACGAAAAAATGCTTTAGATTCTTTATTGGAAGTTAATCGTTTACTGTTGACTAACGTTAAAACTGGTAAGCACATGTCTTAAACTTTCGTTTGTAAGGACTTATTAAATGAATGTTGCTACTAATCAGGATGATTATGCAGAAAATTTTAATTGTTTTTGTCTGAATGAGCATAAAGCTGATACTATGGACAAAATAAAATTTCTCTTTTCACTGCAGCAATCTGGCAAACAAAATCTTAAAACTTCCACCGTTGCATCTGACTCTCTAAATCACGCAAAAACCTTAGTAAAACAAATCATTTGTAAACGCAATTAAGGGGGTTTGTCCATAAAGTACGTCACCCTATATTTGTCAATTGTTAACCCCTTTCCTTAAAGAACATTTTAAAAGATTTAAAATGTAAATACTTTGCAGCATTTTCAAAATTCAAACTTATGAAAATATGGCAATATACATAAACATTAGAAGTGTAAGTAAAATTTTCGACAAACTAAAAGATTTTCTTATTTTGAATGACAACTTTATTAAACTAAATAAATATAATAAACAATAAATTTTTTATTACTTTATAAACTAATTTTTATTACTTTATAAACTAATTTGTAAACTTTAGTAAAGTAATTTGTATTACTTTAGTAAAGTAATTTTTTAGTTACTCGTGCGGATAAAACTATCGATTTGATAACTTGCATAAATGTTAAAAGTCACTCAAGAAGAGTGTCATCAGTTATTTAAAACTGCCTTTGTTAATTACATTTAATGAATGAGTTTAATACTTTTGCAATTCTTTTGTTACGTAACTCTAAAAAGTCTAACTCTTAATAGCAGATAAAAAAAATCCATGATATTAATCGCTCGGTAACGTAAGTGATGTAAGTTATATTACTTATGATAGTATATATTTAACTTGTGTTACATCATATAACACAAGTTAAATATATAGTATCAAGGAAACAAATTATACAGAAAACAGTTTATTTTCTTTAGCTGGTCACATCTGATGAATTTTTTAAATTGGTAAAGAAATCTCAACACTGAAAATATTCAAAAAATATTCAAAACAATCCGCGTTACTGATTCGCAGAAATCTGACTGAAAAATTGAAAAAAAATTACCTTTTTTTCTGCGTAATGTAAGTTAAGTAAAATTTTCGGTAATGAGACTTCTTTTGGCCAGACTTAAAATATTTTAGCTTATTTTATTATTCAGACTATCAGATTTCGTAGAAAAATCGCTAAAAAATTGTATTTATAGTTTAAATAAGCAAATATTTGATAAAGTTGTTGCACGTGTAACGTAAGTTAAAAATAGAATTTTCAATATATGACGCCAACGTAGAAATATGGGCAGCCGAATATATGCCAACACGATGCCAACTTACGGCCTACCAAAATGCTTCATTGGCCCAACAATCACAAATACGTTGGGCCTACGTAAGGCCTACTAAGTTGTGTTGCTCGGGGAAGCTTTTATGCTTTAGATACCTGATAGGTATCTTAAACACTTTTTAGATCTTTACTAAACCACAGTGAATTAAGGCATTTTTTTTTTTATAGTTTTTTTTTCTTTTAGGAAGATATATCCTCATAATTTATAATATACTCACACAATTTAAATATAAAAACAGTTAAACATTTAAAAAGCGCAAACAAATTACTAACTTAAATTTAAATTCTAACGCCAAGTATGGCACCAAGTAAGAAGATCAACAATTTTTTTGCAGGGTGGAAAAAGGTTTTAAATTTTGATAACTAAACATATATATTGAAAAATTTTAAAATTTTTTGAATACATTTGAATACATTAATTAGTATTTTCATGCCTTGAATAAAAATGCAAATTAATGCGTTCAAATATTATAGCTGTATTTTTAATTTTAATTTTTTACAAACGTTCAACATTATTAGGTCTGACTAAAAACGTTAAAAATCATTTCAAAATACGCAGTAACTACGAATTATTCTAAGAACAAGCATTAAAACCTTGTTTTAATAAAACCTTGTTTTAATAAAGATGATCAAATTACTAAAGCTTCTATCATTTATAATATTCTGTAGACAATTTTGCGCAGTAAAAATTCGAGTAGTTAAAAACCTTTTTGTAAAAAATTTATTACATACATATATCCTTCATAATTACACGAAACCTACACCAGTGTAATAAAAAGTATAGATCAAAATTAGTCGTACCTTGATTATGGCAAAAATTAGAAAATGAAGTACATATTTATATTCTTCAGAGTGCTATAAATTAAACTTTTATTATTATTAAAAATAATTGTTTATGAAATATATCAGTAGTTACATAGCAATAAATTGTATCTCACTAAAACATTTACAGGAGAACAAAAGGAATTCCGACTATTTAGAAATATGTTCTTTTGCCACATAAAGTATTACACTATTTGGAACACTTTACGGAACAAACTTCAAAAACGCAAAAAAAACTTGAGGTTACTATGTAAGCAACATATAATTAAAATATTTATTAATAATAGATATTATGATTAAATGTATAAAAATAATATTTATTAATAATATAATATTTTCACAGCATTTGCATAACTGCAAAAAATGATAGCTTAAAAGAAAAGTAAAAAACTAGACCAAACTTATTTTTTGTAAGTCAATTTTATGAGATTTTACATAATGATGATTTTACATAATGATAATCAAACATACATATAAAAAACTTTTGAACACATTTGTTTGCATAAATGCAAATTAATGTGTTCAAATGTTATAGTTGTTTTTTTAGTTTTAATCTCTAACAAGCGTTCAACATTAACAGGTCTAACTAAAAGCAAGATTAGAATATTAACTGCATTTGATAGAAGATTTATTTGTACTTTTTGATTTGCGATTCAATTAGCTAATATTACACTCAGGGTTATTGGTAATGAGAGGTACTTCACAGGTGTAACTTTTTTTAGGATTGGTTAATAATACCCGACGGGCATTTGTTTTTAAAAGTTACGTTCTAAATGTATTTTAAATGTCTTTTAAACGTCTTCTAAACATTCTTACGCAAAAAACGTTTAAAAGACATTTAAAATACATTTAGAACGTAACTTTTAAAAACAAATGCCCGTCGGGTAATTATTACAGTTTAATCCATCACGACAACTTTTCATGGTAACAATATGTAAATAATAATATCAAAAACAATACTGACGATTTTTTGCAATACTAATAATTTAAAAAGAAATTTAAGCTTAGTTCAAGTTCATTAAGTTTCTATATCAATATCACAAATTCGCCCGTTGATATTCCACAAAAAATTTAGCCTCTTTTTTCTAGAGAACTTTTTTGAATTTTTCTGCTGACGTATTTGACGGCTTATATTGCAGCACGTTTTTAAAACATTTTTAAAATTGTTATTAATTATTTTAAGTCTGCATCGCGTTTTTAGATAAGACCAAGTCGTTTTGCATATTAAACAGCAAGCTGTTTTTGACGTAAATAACAACGCCACCGCCTTTTTTTTAGGTTATCTTATTATAACTTATGTGCGTAAATTACGTCATGCTCCATTTAGTTATATAAACACTAGATAAGAATTTTATTATTTAAAATAAAAAAAAAATGAGCAAAGTTGCTGTCATTGGGTTAGGTTATGTTGGTTTACCATTAGCCGTAGAATTTGGAAAAAAAAAACACACCATTGGTTTTGATATAAATAAAATAAGAATTGAAGAAATTTTAAAAGGCATAGACAGAACTTTAGAAGTAAGTAATGATTATTTAAAAAGTGTTTTAACAACCAAAACCGAACTCGCTAGTTTTACATGCAGCACTAATTTAGAAGATATAAAAGATTGCAACTTCTATATTGTAGCAGTTCCAACTCCCACTGATAAAAATAACAGACCAGATTTAACAGCTTTATTCAAAGCTAGTGAAAATGTTGGCAAAGTTTTAAAAAAAAATGATATTGTTATTTACGAATCAACAGTATATCCAGGTGTTACAGAAGACAAGTGCGTTCCGATTCTAGAAAAGGTTTCTGGATTAAAATTTAATGTCGATTTTTTTGCAGGATATTCGCCCGAAAGAATTAATCCTGGCGATAAAGAACACACAGTTACCAAAATAATAAAAGTAACATCAGGTTCAAATGCAGAAGTGGCTGAAAAAGTTGATCAACTTTACAAAACTATAATTGTTGCTGGAACATTTAAAGCAACAAGCATAAAAGTAGCAGAAGCAGCAAAAGCAATTGAAAACTCTCAACGAGATATTAATATAGCTTTTGTAAATGAATTAGCAAAAATTTGTAATTTGATAGGGATTGACACAAATGAAGTGCTTGAAGCTGCTAGTACAAAATGGAACTTCCTCAAATTCAAGCCAGGTTTAGTTGGTGGACATTGTATTGGCGTTGATCCATACTATTTAGCACAAAAGGCTCAAGAATTAGGTTATCATCCAGAAATTATTTTAGCTGGAAGACGCTTAAACGATGAAATGGGTAAATATATTGTCACAGAAACCGTCAAACTAATGATAAAAAAGGACGTCAAAGTGAAAGGTGCCAATATTTTGGTTTTAGGCTTTACGTTTAAAGAAGATTGTCCTGATGTAAGAAACACGAAAATAATAAACATAGTTACTGAATTAAATACCTATGAAACAAAAACTTTAGTTGTTGACCCTTGGGCAAGTCAAGAGGAAGTAAGACAAGTGTATAGTATTGAAGCTTTAAAAGAAATCCCTGCAAATAAAAAGTTTGATGTAGTTATATTAGCTGTAGGACATAAAGAGTTTTTAAAACTAAACATTCGAGAATACTTAAATGTCAATAATGTGGTTTATGACGTTAAAGGACTCCTTGATAAAAAGTTAGTTGATGCAAGATTATAGTTAGAGCAAATATATGAAATTCAAACACTTTAAATGTTTAAACGAGTACCGCTATACTACTTCAAATAATACCAAGAGAAAGCAAAACGAAGATACAAAGATATAAAGACAAATCATTTTTTGAGATTTCTTTTACATAACATATTTATCTTTACAATTTTTTACAAAAACGTTGTGCGTTTTTGAAGTGTTTAGCAAAATTATTTATTAGTTTTATTTTTAATTAAAATCTAATAGTTTATATTTTAAAAAAAAATTTTAATAAAGGTTTTGTTGACTTATTATTACCTTGATACTTTTTTTTTATATTCTTAGTTTTTAGGTAAGTAATGATAATAAAAAAATCAAATATTTGCTGTCAGTTTTAAAATATATGAGCTAATTATACAAAATATTTTGGCATCAAGAAAAAAAACTTTTTTCATAATTATATTTAAATTATCTATACTAGAAACTTATTCAATTTGAACCAAATAAAGTACTTTTTCTATAACTTTATTTATTTTAAACTTTGAAACTTAATTTATTTTCTATCGGCTCATTCATTCCTTAATGTTTTTATTTTTCTTTAAAAAAAAAATGTTTGTTCCAAGGAAAATTTACTCTCCTATTTAAAATTTACCGGTAAATTTTACTGGTAAATTTTGAACCAAATTTTACAGGAAAATTTACATCACTACTAAAAATAGAAGTAGCGTAAAACGTTATGAAATTGATATTAGAGCAATCCCAGTGGTCACAAATTTTGTGTTTTAAAGTTCTAAAATATGTATTAATACGTTTTAATACGTGTTTTAGAAGTTTTAAACACGTTATGTGACCACCAGGATAGAGTTTCTTAAAAACGCAAGTGGTTGTCAGATAATTGGGACAAACAAACTATTTGACGTCACCAATAGTACGCCATGGATGGCGACATTTGAGAGGGTTAAAATTATTACAATTGAATCGGTAAATGTTAATAGGGCGGAAGTCCAACATTGTTGGACACATAACGTGTTTAAAACTTCTAAAACATGTATTAAACGCATTAATACATATTTTAGGAGTTAAAAACACGACTTGGCATCAATGTAAACTTTCGGGAAACTAAAAAAACTGCACTATTTTTTTAGTAAATTTTTATTATTGGTTTAATAGTTTTTTTTGAAAGGGATAATTTTTTCACCTTAAAAGCAAAGATATATTTTTATATATTAAGATATATTTTTTATTTTTATTTTTAAAGATTCTATATACCAATTAACGCTATAGACTTCAGCAGTTTTAACATTTAACAAATAATTGCTGCTTATCTTATTATGATTTTAATTTTGGGCTATAGAAAATGACGTCATAAACTGCAATGAATCTTCAGTGTAAATTTATGAATTATTTACAAAGTTTAACAGCAAGTTTCATTTGGAGACTTTCTAGCCTGCCCCTCGTGGTATAGGTAGAGTGTTGCAACGTTTCTCTTCATATCATGAATAGAAAATACACTAATCGTTAACTGCTTAGATAAAATAGCTCTTGCACAGGTATTTTGGGCAGTGAGATGTTTTGCATATAATCTACTGCTAGGGACAAAACATTTACATTTTTTTCTTCCTTAACGTCCTATACACCTTGTTTTATGGCTTCGTAAAATTTTTACGCGCTTCTGTTATGTACTGCCAACTCAGCTACTGCTGTTTGCTTAGCTACATCATTAAAGTGAGGTGATTTTATCTTCAGCTTTAATATCTTAATCGCATATGCAACAGGTGTCTACTTGATGATTCCCGAAACATAAATGAAAGTGTTCATTATAGTAGTTATAATAGGACTGGTAACTATAATAGGACTGGTAACTGTAATATAAAATAATGTATAAATAGTTCATATATTATTTTAACGTTCAAATCTCACTCAAAAAATATTTTTTCTTACCGCCATAGTGAGTCGTTTTTTTGGAAAGGAGTCTATGTGAGGTAGCTTAGATAGAAGGTAGAACCTTAGGTAGAACCTTCGTGCACTCCTCTTAATTCTTTAACTGCTTTCTCATCCATTTTTAAACCTCTTTCTCTTCCAACCTCTCTTTTCTGACACTATTGATAAAAATGCCACAACACATACTTGTACTCGTTTATCTCCGATTTAAACATGATACTTAAATTCCTTTTTTTTTACCAGTATTACCATCTTCATCACAACCTTTCCATTCTCAGTGGACACGAACGTAAAAAAGACGTCATTTAAACGTCTTATACACGTTTTAGACGTCTTTTGAACGTCTTTTGAACGTTTTGGACGTCTTTTTTTGGTCCGGTGCCCACTGGGTTGCTGTCTCTTGAACCAGGTTTCTTCTTTAAAATGTCCGTAATATCAATCAGCCGTGCAAAAATAAATCCTGCTCATCTTTTGTATTGCACTGGCTGTAGATTTTCATAAATGCATTATTAAGGTTATCTTTGCCAATAAATTCAAAACACTTTCCTGAACAACTGAAAAAAAAAAATGTTTTAATTTTAATTTATAAAAAAATTATAGACGGCCTAGTCTAGTAAACAAAATAGGGTTAATATACGATAACTTAATATAGGATAAGTGAATATAAGATAAGTGAATAAGATAATATAAGATAAGTTAATATACCATATGTGATTGTAGACTACCATAAAAATGTCATTTCCCAGTGGACACCGGACCAAAAAAAACGTCTTTTGAACGTTCAAAAGACGTCCAGAACGTTCAAAAGACGTTCAAAACGTGTTTTGGAGGTCTTTTGAACACTGGGTTTTGTGTCTCAGGCAAATATTTACAACCTAAACAAGCAATTACAAACCTAGGTCTATAGACCAACTATAAATTACAGAGCCTAAATACGACCGAACTTTAGACGAATTATTAAAAATTGGCATAAGCCTATTTTTCCAGTGGGCACGTAAAAAAGACGTCTTACAAACATCTTATACACGTTTTGGACGTCTTTTGAACGTCTTTTGAACGTTTTAGACGTCTTTTTAACGTTCAAAAGACGTCTTTTTTTGGTCCAGTGCCCACTTGGTTATTAAATTAAGGATTATTTGTGTACTATCTCTTACCTGCATGGATCTCCAATAGACTTTGCATCATCTTTTTATCTCTTGTGGTTTTCATATGCCACACCAGTAAGCCTAGATTTCTTAATCTTGTTCCTTTTAACTATCTGGATTTCTCTTCTTTTTTTTTGAACTTGTATGATCAGACTCACTACCACTATCATCCATTTAAAAAAGCAGTTAAATCTAGTTAATCTAGTTAAATCACTACTAAAATTGTCACACGTAACAAGTCAGCTTTATTCACCACACTGCAGTACAATCACAACAAGGAAGTGAGGTAGCGTTTGGTCCGCTGTCTTCAGCACAGAGCTTCTTATTTTTTGCTAAAAGGGCTGAAGTCTAAAAAAGTTTCTAAAGCCCTTTTAACAAAAAAAAACAAAACCTTTAGACACTGTACAGGCTAGAAAAAACTCTTCCTTTAAATATACAAATTTGCAAAAATTTCAATTTTGTAAAATATGTGACTTTCGCTCTTTTAACATAACATTTTCAATTACTTAATTGAATCGGTAAATGTTAAAAGAGCGGAAGTCACATATTTTACAAATTGAATTTTTTGCAAAATTATACATAAAAATTGTATACAGTTTTTATCCTATAAGTACAACTGAGCACATTGTATTATGCACAACCTGTACCTGAAAAATGAAAGGTGCTAAGATTTGATAATTGGTTTTGATATATTGACAGATAAATTCAAATGAAATACAATTTGCTTTCTGCAAAATTTCTGAAGCTTGTGACATGTTTGCTAGGTAAACAGCTTACAAGTTTCTGTACGAATCGTTACTTGGTGTGAGGGTAACACAACTCAAAGGTTTAATATAGTAAATTTATATATACTCTTTTTATTATAAAAACTGTTTAGTCTAAAAGTTATCAGTATACATCTAGTTGTTATTTTTTTAATTAGAGGTGACCTTTTTAAGCCTTTACTAAGTGTAACCATGGACGTATAAGAGATGAACGTGCAACTTGTTGTTGTTTTTGCGAACTATGCTCAATAATAAGGCGTCTGTATTGTTACAAGTTTATTGTTTCAAACAAAAGAAAAAAGTTAGTAGTTAAGAATTTTTCTTAATTTTAGTAGTTAAGAAGTAATACAATAAAAAAAACTACACTTTTTAATAATGATCTTGTTAAAACAATCTTTTTATAGTTAATTTTATCTAACTCTACACTAGGTAATTTGGTTGATTGCCTAGTTTTGAAAGCAAACTGTTTGTTATAAAAGTTAATAATAAAATTAGTATTAATATAATTAAATTGAAACAGTTTGTATCACATTAGGATGATTAAATCAATTTCAAACCAGATTTTATTTTATTTATTAACATATCGTATTTATTAACATAAAGAAGGCAAAACAAAGCGGCATGTCGGAGAAAACAAAAAAATATATTTAAGTTGAAACAAAATGAGCAAAGAATTTAGACTCTGAATGGTAAGAATACTAACTGAAATATAAAATATAAAACTTGACTAAAATATCCAATCCATAAATCTTTTTTAAAAAGCTCTCTCTACGTGTTAATTTTATTGTTTACGTTTACTTAAAAACAGGAAGTATTTGTCTAAGTATTATAAAAAATCTGTTATTATATCTTTGTATTTGTTATAAACATCATTTATTTATGTTTGATTTGAACAATAATTTGCAAGTTCATAAATGATTCATTTTTTACAAAAATCACTTTACAGAATTGTCTATTAAATCTTTACTAAAAATCTTTGATTGGCAGCCATTTTTAATACTTTTTTTGCTAATGACGGAATATTTTGATAAGATCGTGAAAACGCATGGCTCGCTGATTTTAACGGTTTCTCTGATGTAAAACAAAAGATTGCACGTTAATCTCTCATACGTCCATGGTGTAACTAACAATTTGTTTTATTGCTTCGCAAACTTTACAAAGTTTGCGAAGCAATAAAACAAATTGTTGGTACGGGATCATCATTTAAAGTGGCACTTTCAATAAAATATTGAATAAATGACTGTTTTAATTATACAGTTGTGGAAGAACTCAATTTATCGTGTTTCAAAACATAGAAAACTTCTAAAAAAAATATTTGATCCGATAATTTATGAAAATTATGTTTATACTTAAAAAGTTACTTTCTAACTATAGCAAAGTAAAGTTGCATTAATTTGGAAGCAATAAAGCGCGATCTCTGTAATTTCGTATTTCAGGGCTTTCCAATAAAGCAAATTTGGCTTTATTTTTTATATTATGATGCTCTATTCAATTATTATAGAGATCAGTGAACGAAAGTTGTTGTCAAAGGTTATTACGAGTTATAGCACGTCTTACGTGAAAAATGCTTAGCCTTCATGTTAATTGCAATTATCTAACACAATGAGTTGTCAATGCAGATAATCTTATATTATTAACAAGAGGAAGTGTCGTTTTATTTAAATAAAATTCAAATTAATTTTATTTGGGATCACCCTAAATAAAATTCATTTGAAACATTTTATAATCAAAATTTTTTTTTTACAAAGTTCGATACCGTTCTTACTATCTTAAAAAGTGCGTTTTTTTCAACATATCGTGAGGTTAGAATTATTTTGTTCCACATTTTTTTCTCTCCACATTTTTTTGTTTTGAGATAAATTGATTTAAAAAATAAAAACTTTAGGAAAGGGCATATAAAAAAAATTTTATAACATGTTTTCTCAGAAACTTTTTTGATTTTGTTTTGATATAATACAAAATCTTTATTTTGAGGTACATGACACAATCAATACATGACACAATCAATAACTCAATTTTTTCAAAAAGTGGAGATAGAACAAAAGTAATTCTAACCTCGCGATATCCGTATCACTTATAAATATATTCAGATTATTTATGATATATCACATAATTTATAATATACCCACACAATATAAAAACAGTTAAACATTTAAAAAACGCAAAAAATTTCTAATTTAAATTAAATTCTAACGTCAAGGATGTCAAGGGCCGAGATAGACATTTTATTTACAGGGTGGAAAAGGTTTTAAGTTGTGATAATTAAACATATGTATAAAGAGTTTTTGAAAATTTTTGAATACACGTGAATGCATTAATGTGTGCAAATGTTATAGTTGTTTTTTTAGTTTTAATCTCTTTCAAACGTTCAGCATAATCAAATCTGACTAGAAACGTTAAAAATCATTTCAAAATATGCAGTAACTATGAATTATGCAAAGAACAATCATTAAAACCTTGTTTTTTATAAAGTTGGTCAAATTACTAAAATTAATAGTTTTTTCCGCAACAGCCGTGGTGCAGTGGTAGCGTACTTGCCTCAGAAGCAAAGGATCCTTGGTTCAAACTCCACCTGGGGGCAAGTTTTGCGACATCAGTTAGGAAGGAGGCGTGAACTCCCAATTAAATGATCAACCGCGGTGCTCTGTGATAAGACTATTACGGTTTCTTGGGACACCTAAATAAAAAAATTTATAACATTTTATAGACTACTTTGTGCATTAAAATTTTGACTAATTGAAAACCTTCTTTAATTTTTGAATTTATTACATACATATGTCTTTCATGATTACGCGAAACCTATACTAGTATAATAAAAATTATAGATCAATATTAGTCGTTCCTTGAATGCAACAAAAATTGGAAAATGAAGTACAACTTAAAAATGATTTCGTAGCAGCACCTATTTATACTTTTTAGAGTGATATAAGTTAAACTTTAATTATTATTAAAAATAATTGTTTATGAAATATGTCGATAGTTTCATGGCAATAGGTTGTAATTCACTAAAACATAATTTTATAGGAGAGCAAAAGGGATTCCGACTATTTAGAGATAAACCTTTTTGCCACATAATAAATTACACTATTTTGAGCATTTTACAAAACAAACTAGAAAAACGCAAAAAAAAAACGGGAGATACTACTATTTTCCATCAGTTGCTTCTTTTAAATCCAAGATTTAAATATTGTTATAACCGATATTAGGGCCTAAACATAAAAATCCTTTGGTTACTTTTCAGCTGAAAAAAAAAGGAATTTAAACTATATATTTGAAAAGTTTTTAAAATTTTTAATATAAATATTAAATTTATTAATAATATAATATTTTCACAGCATTTGCATAACTGCAAAAAATGATAACTTAAAAGATAAGTAAAAAATTATACCAATCTTATTTTTTGTAAGTCAACTTTATTTATTGTGATTGTCAAACATACCTAAAAAGAACTGTTTAAAACTTTTGAACACATTTGTTTACATAAATGCAAACTTATGTGTTCGAATAGTTAGTTAAGTTAGTTAAAGTTAAATTACACGGAGCGGGCGTGTTCCGCAAGCCCATCAACAGCTAGCCGTGCTAGCTCGTGCGAAATTGCACGGAAGATGATGCGCTGTAGTAATTATTAAAGCTGATCAAATTTTGCTTTGAAGCGATCGACACTGGTAGCACTGACTACTACGTTAGGTAATGCGTTCCATGGGTGAGCGACGCGGTTGTTGAAGGAATTATAGCGAACGAGGCAGTTGTTGTCCATTTCACGATGAAAACGCTTGCGAAGACCGTAACTAGGTGGGATGTTAGGTGGATCTATATGCCAGCTAATTGAGTCGATACTGTTTTCGAATTTATATTTTTGAATGAGGTCGCCTCGTAAACGTCTATTTAATAGAGAGGTGAGACCGAGTTTGATGCATCTTGTCTCGTAATCGAAGCGCTTTATTTCGTGCGGTACTTTGGTAACCCGGTGCTGAACACGTTCTATGACATTTATGTCTTTTTCAAGATGCAGGCACCAGGCAGTAACTGCAAACTCGAGATGTGGGCGTATATAAGTGGTGTAAAGTTTTTTCCATATTTTGGTATCTCTGCTTATAAACGTGTTTTTCAATGTCCCGAGGACTTTATTAGCCTTGGCAGCGGCTATTTGTGCTTGCCTCTCGTATTTTAAGTCGTTGGAAATTTGAACGCCTAGATCTTTTTCGGATGTTGAAGACTCGATTACTGTTCTAGTGACGCTACCGTTAGCGTCGTACTCGTTCATTAAACAAATGTGTGGGGAAACATTGTACTTACTGAAATGCATGACTTTGCATTTCTTGATGTTGAGTTCCATTAACCAGGTTCGAGTCCAGGTAACAACGCTATCTATATCGGATTGCAGACGAGCTTTGTCTTCAGTGGTTTTGACGACACTCAGGATTTTAGTATCGTCTGCATACATTTTACATAAGTTTTCGCTATTGATATGTTCGGGTAAGTCATTAATAAATATTATGAACAGCGTAGGACCTAGCACTGAACCTTGCGGAACGCAACTGGTAACCTTTACCCAGGTGGATGATGTATTACCTAATATGACACGATGTGATCTATTTGAAAGGAAAGCTTTTATCCAGTTAAGAACGTTACCTTCGATTCCGTAGGATTCAAGTTTTTGAAGTAATCTTCTGTGAGGGACTTTATCGAAGGCTTTGGCGAAGTCAAGAAAAAGAACATCTACAGGAAGCTTGCGAGATACGTTGTAGGTCAGAAAGTCCATGGCCTCATGCAGATTCGTGACGCAGGTTTTTTTATTGACGAAGCCGTGCTGGCAATCGGCAATAAATTTATAAGCTACAAGGTGCTGCATGATCTTTTCTTTAACAATTTTTTCCATTATTTTGCATGGTACTGAGGTGATGGAGATAGGCCTATAGTTTTCTGGGTCGAGTCTGGAGCCTTTTTTGAACAGTGGCGTCACGTTTGCCGAGAGCCACGCTTTTGGGACTACACCTTGATCCATCGATTTCTGAAAAATGATGGCAAGCGGGGTAGCCGCCGTATCAGCGCATGCTTTAAGCACAAATGGACTGATACCGTCACCTCCAGTTGATTTATTGGCGTTGAGAACAGATAGGTGTTTGTGAACGGAATCATAGCTGAAGATGACGGAGGAGATTAAGGTGGTTGTACTTTTAACAAAGGGAGGTAGTTGTTGATCTGAAGGTTCGATTGTGAATACTGACTGGAACTGGCTGTTAAGTATATTGGCTATGGATGCGTGATCGCTACTTATTTCCCCGGCGGGTGAGCACATAGAAGTTATCTGGTTACTGACGGCGCGTTTGTTGTTTACATAAGCGTATAGACGCTTAGGGTTCCATTTCATTCCGCTAGCTAATTTGTGTTCAAATGCTCTAATTGCAGTGCAGGAAGTTTTTTTGACAAGGTTTCGAGTTTGGTTATACTCTTTGACAAGAGGAATGATTCGCCATTTGCTGTTGCGGTTGAGGTACCAAAGTTTTTTCTTACGTTTAATTAGTAAAAAAAGTTCGCTGATAATGATATAGTTGTTTTTTTAGTTTTAACTTCTTACAAACATTCAACATTAACAGGTCTGACTATAAGCAAGATCAAAATGTTTACAGCATTTGATAGAAAGTTTTACTTTTCAGTATGCTATTCAATTATCTAATTTAAAATACTACAGTCAGGGTTACCGGTGATGGTAGGTAATCCACAGGCGTAACTTCTTTTTCTAGGGATGGTTTTTGTAACGCGTGTTATTTTTTTGATGCTTTAGATAAAGTAGCAAGTAAATTATAAAATTTAATAAAGTTGGAGACAGAAAACTTTTTTAGATTAGGGACAGAAGAATCATAGCAAGTCATTATGTTTTGGAGTGCATAAATAATTAAAAAAAAGATCACATGACCTTTTTTTTTAAATTTTTTATGCACTCAAAAACATGACATATTTGACATTTCCTGTGTATAATAATTACAGTTTAATCCATCACAGCAACTTTTCATGGTAACAATATGTAAATAACATTAAAAACAATAGTGATGATTTTTTTTTAATACTAATAATTTAAAAAGAATTATAAAGATAGCGGTTTTAATTACACGAAAAATAACATCTTCTCATTATTAGTAGAAGTAATCCATTATCATTTTTAATATAAAATATAAAGCAGAGATTTAAATTAAAAAAATTTACTACGTAATACATTATTACTACTACTTTAATACAAAAGCAAACGAGGACTCGTATAAAAACATAATGTGCTAAAAAAGCAGGGAAATAATAAAGTAATAAATAATAACCAACAGCCTTAACAGGTTCTACAGTTTTTAATAAATTAAATTTACTTAAGAATAAACCACTTATATTTTCAGGAAATAGAATTAAATATTTTTAAGATACACCAAATTAAAATAAGATTGCTGCCATTAAAAAAAACAAAAAAACTTGTATACTATTAAAAAAAATAAGTTGTAAAAAAAAGGTTATATTTTAATTACAAATTTAATTGGTATTTACTTTTATACCAATCGAAAGCAATTTCTAATCCTTTTTCAAATTTAAACAATGGTTCGTAGTTTATTGTTGTTCTAATTTTATCAATGCTTGCTTTTGAGTGTTTAACATCACCTTTTCTTTCAGGACCATAATTTGCTATTATTGATTGGCTACTTATCTTATTTAAGATTTCAATCATTTCATTAAGACTTACTTGGTCACCACAAGCCATATTCATTACTTCATGTTTTTCCAAACCATCAAAAAGCAATGCTTTAATATTAGCTTGAACTGCATTTTCTACAAAAGTGAAATCTCTACTGGTCAGGCCGTCTCCATTGACTGTAGGAGCAGTTTTTTCTAAAAAAGCTTTGCAAAAAATTGGTATTACTGCAGCATATGGATTATTAGGATTTTGTTTTGGGCCAAATACATTAAAGTATCTCAATCCAATTGTATGTAATCCGTATACTTTACTAAAAACATCTGCGTATAATTCATTTACAAGTTTTGAAACGGCATAAGGAGATAATGGGTTTCCTTCATTTCCCTCAATTTTAGGTAAACTTGGACTGTCTCCATAGGTTGAAGAAGATGCTGCATAAACCATTCTTTTAACATGTGGCGACTCTTTAACTGCGTGCAACATGTTCAAAAACCCACCCACATTTACATCGTTTGATGTTATTGGATCATCAATGGATCTCGGAACTGATCCTAAAGCAGCTTGATGACTTACAAAATCAATTCCCTCAAGTGCTTTTTTACAGGTGTTATAGTCTCTAATATCGCCAACAATAAATTCAAAGTTTGGTAAATCCATAAAATCTTTTATATTTTCAAAGTACCCATTTGAAAGATTATCAAGAACCCTAACATGGCCTGCGTTGAATTTGATTAAATATTCAACGATATTGCTGCCAATAAATCCCGCTCCTCCTGTTACGAGAAATTTAAACCGTGATAAATCATCACAATGGTACTTAGTATTATACAACTTTTGGTTAAACATTTTATTTAGCTAGATTTCTTGACAACTTTTTTTATCAAGTCTTGCATCAATTAGTTTTGTATCATACACTATTCTACGTTATAAAACACTTTTTTAACGTTTAACTAATATTAACGTTAACTTATAATAATTTATTATTTGCCACTGATGATATTCTTATGACATCACAATGACATCACTATACTTAATATAAACTTATAAAGAAGACTGATGGACAGTTTTCTTCATAAGTAGATTGCGATCTTTTCCTTTTGTTTTAAGATAAAAAAAGATGTACGTCACACAGGCATAAATCTGTTTAAAAAGAATGCAATAATCTATTTTGATTGTTGTATTATTTTGTT